AGTACGTTCGACCCTACTGTACGGTTGTGAAACCTGGCCGCTTAAAGCAGCGGACCTGAAGAGGCTAGTTACATTCGACCACCGGTGCCTTCGTAATTTAGCTCACATCTGGTGGGAACATCGCGTGAGCAACGAGCGTGCTTGACGCCTTGTTAATGGCACAGGAAAAGGAACTGAACCGCTCAGCACCGTTATTGCACGCATCAGGCTCCGATGGCTCGGCCACGTGTTGCGCATGCCAGCCCACCGACTTCCGCGACGTGTGTTGTTTACGCGCCGGGGGTGGGGATGGAAGAAGAGGAGGGGTGGCCAAGCGATGACTTGGTCCAGAGGAATGAAGGCCCTCACTTCTGAGCTGGCCTCGGTTGGAGGGTCTCGGCTCCCTGGTTGGGGTCCGAAAGACGATGAACATGTTTGGTTGGACACACTTGTTGATATGGCTAGGAGCCGACCTCAGTGGCGTTCGTGCTGTGAGTTTCTTTGTCCCATCCCCATCCCTCTTAGCGTCCCCCTCCAACCACGATCTCATTACTTAGCATAATATAATTTTGCACAATAATTTTTTTGGGTGCACAGCAGCCGGCTGGTAGCTTACCGGAACGATGCCCATCCGTTACCGGTAGCTCAGCCGGCTTGCACCAGTTGCTTTTTTCTCCTTTTTTTCTTTGTATTGCGGCACAGTAGCTGAGGTGTTCCCCACCTCTAGCTAACGTGTATGATGATGGTGATGATGGGGCAAGAAAAAGGATTTTCAAAGTGGGCGATTTTGTGTCTGCGGCTGCTAATCAAGGACGGCGGATCGGTTGGATACCAGGACGAGTCGTGCGACGCCGAGGCAAGGTGATGTATGATGTTCAAGTTGGTACACAGGTATGGAGACGCCACGTCAATCAGTTGAGGTCACGGTATACACATGGTGCCGTCGTTCCGAAAGCCAACGGACTTGACGTCAATGAATTGCTGGACAATGGCAAGCCTAGTACCCCTGCAGGTGGCGACGTTCGTCCCATGCAATGCATGGAAAATGGAGCCCGCTACAGGCCAAAGAGAACAAGAAGATTCGTGCAGCCTCTCCAGGTGGATCCGCGTCGGAAGAGCTATGTGAACTCCAGGTAACCCATTTTTTAAGGGAGGGAGGTATTAGGAGAACAGCTATTAGACATTCATTTTTGTGAACGAGCTTAATAGCTATTCTTTACTCTTCCTATTTTCTACTTCTTGACTGTTGTTTAAACGCTCTACTGGATTAGCCCGATTGGTACACCCACGTCATTGTCAATGGACGCTGATCGTCATGTCCTTTTCAGCAGTGTCATTTGAGCGAACACATTCCATTGGTTTTTTCTTCTCATCACTGTTCTACTCGGTTATGTTAAGGGAATATTTAGTTGTCACACGATTATTGTACCAGTTTTTAATTTTTGGGTCTGCATTTCTTATTCTCGTTTGTTTCGTGACATTTTTTAAATGCTTCATTTCGATTCATCGCAAGAATAATATTAAATAACTTAAGCTAGTGTGGCTGAGTGCAAAGATAATGGAAGCAAGAAAGAATTGCGCCAAACTAATCAGAATTGAACGAAAATTAACAACCAGATGCAAGAAGCCGAATGCAGGAACACCACTGACCGCGCCATGTCTGATACGGTCTCCAACCATTGGTGTGAACCATCCCGAGGCAACTATCCACGACCAATATTTTCAGTCAATTTCTTCATGCCTCTATGCCACGTCATGGAGTAGCTACCTCGCGGTTTCGCCCAAGTCCGTGCAGCCACGAAGTACAATGCACGCCGAAAAAGCCGGCCAACAGGTATAAGGAGGAGTAAGCACTCGTCAGACACCAGAAGACTTTTTGCCAAAAATCAACTGGTGGACCTCAGCATTGCTCACCAGACGTGAGCAGACGCAAGGAATTAAGTTGCCTCCCAAAAGGAGGGGTGCCAAATATGCATCCCTCCTCAAAAGCGAAACAGTAATGCGCGAGTTACCTCTGGGCAAAAGTGATCCGTGGTACAGATATGGTTCCCACATATTTCGTCACCAAACTACGTGGGCCCAGTTCATTTTGCCAACTGTGAACCGGTTTCTGAAATATGGTGGGTTCAGCTGTCTTGTCAGATGCAACCAACATAATAATAACCGAACGCTAATAATGATAATAATGGGAAAGAATAAAAAAGAAATAAATAAAGTGGTCAGATGAAAAAGTTACGTTTGAAATGAGGGGGCGAGTATACGAGTGCCTTTGAAATTGTGATTGGGCAAAACCGGAAGATGGTAATGCATATGTGAACAAAGTAAACACCCTACAAATGTGGTACATTGAAGAAAAGCTCCAAGGACTCCTGTTTACGTACATGAGCTTGTGCTCATTCACAAAAATACCAAGACCAACTGGCAATTCCACGTGGGTAAACACACTAGAGAAGGGTAGTCAAATGAAGAAGTGATCAATTTCATATCACATTGCGCATAGTTTGTCGCCTCTTTCTATCAGCAGACAGAACGACAGGGTCTGACGGGTACGTCAACAACTGTTGAGCATGTGACCTGTGCACGCACGACCTCAGTCGGATTAGTCTCAATGTAAAAAATGACTGACCCCATCATCGCACACAGACAAAAGAATACTCCACGAAACCGGTAGCTGAAACCAACTCAAGTAAACAACCAGAATTCACCAATCACATCCACCATTGTGCGCTAAGCGCATGAGCAGCATTAGCAATTATACCACCCCCCAAAGTAGCGTATCAGTCAGATGACGATAATTGTAGCGCACGCCATCGGAAGACCCACGGTTGACGCTTGTTGCTAATCGATGGTATTGTGTGCCACTCAATGCGGACCCGAACATCAGCAAGTACCTGATAGTGTCGAGGACGAAGCAATGGCGGGTGCGCGGTTGTGAAGCAAGATAGCACGGAAAACATCAGGTGATGAAAACAGCAAGCTGCTGTATTGACGTGGATAAAGCAAACTGAAGCAAAATGTCAACGGCACCAGCTGATTTCACAGATGAAGTCGATCGGACAGCAGTAAAAGCGCAAGGACTTGTCAGACGGGCCAACGCTTAGGAGATTGAAATGAAAATCAGCAGCCTGCGCGATTAACACAGAAAGGCAGTTGGGTATTAGGCGCAGTCATGCAAAGACAAATCAGATGGAGCCCGATAAACGCAAGGGAAGGGGACAGGAATGCCTCCCACTCAGACTGATTCGCTACCATTACATGAGATGTTACGGCTACGGTCAGTCTCCGAAAATCATTGTTCATTGTCCAGCACGATTCATTGGTGCTGGTGGTATACAAGGAGAACAACGGTGAAAACCTAGCCCATACGTTACGCCAAATCAGATTTCGGAGACAACGAAGTAGTGGAGAATATGTCAAAAACACTCGGAGATAAATGCGGGGAAAGTCAAAACGGTGGATTTTTGGGCCGGTCGGGTTTCTTCGAAATCTTAGAACGATCATACGGTATTGCATAAGAGGTCGTCCGTGAGTTCCAATGTTGATAGGACGGTTGAGTATTTCGTGAGGCGGAGGAGTAATTGAACCTCACTGATATCAGGGAATTACCGCAAGCACGAGTCAGAAAAATCGGAACGATATCGCACTGCCAGGTGATCGCAGCCCCTGTGATACGCGGCGTATACGGGTCGGGAATCTTAGCCACTTCACAGCAAAATCGCTTGCGCATTAGGTGAAAAAACCATCACGTTGAAAAAAATTGCGTGTTGAATTCAATGTATTGGTAGTAATATGAAAAAGCAGTAAGTAGAACGAGCTAATAATGCAGAGTAGGCGAGAGCCATGTCCATTACCTTACTCGGATGATCGGTCTCAACTTTATATGGCCGCCAATAGGAATGGACGAAAGCGATTGGATTCACCGCGGAGCACATGCTACCTCACTACGGTAACAGGGATCAAGGTCGAAAAGAGAAGTTTGACGGATGTCCGCACGTAATCGACCAGGATACAATGTCTCACCGTGGCATACAAGCGAAAGTTTCTGTGGTGTATGCAGCGATGTTGCACTGATATTGGACCTGAGGAGCAGTGCATCGTTTTCCAGAACTTCAGTAGGATCTAAAACTTGGATGATAATGCGTATGCTCCGGAGTGGATAATCCCGGTCTGGTAAGAGGTCTATGTATGCAAAACTCAAACTTGATTATTGGTTCCAGTTTGCTGAGGCTCGTTGTGAGTGATTGGGCGGATAGCCTATGACAGCGTTGGGCTAGAATAGTCTACCTTGTAGCCAAAAGGTCATCGATTTGAAGCTGCGTAGGTGCGCAAAACAATGCGGTATCCCTAGCCCTTGCACGATTGGTGGTATCCGCGTGGCAGCAAGTAGACATCATGGTGTAGTGCATCCGACATTCCTTTCCCTTCTGCCTACGCGCCACCGACGGCTCTGTACACATCTAGAATGCACAATCCCGAAGCCTGCACTTGACGTGTGTGTTGAAAAATATGGAAAGGGTTTCGGTCTTAGTCCTATGTGGTCGCATTGAAGAAGTGGGTATGGATGGCGGAGTGGGAGCCACAGATGGTTGCTTGCAGTTGCAATGGGCGATAACTAGAGAAACAGGTGGCTAGTCGATGTTTGCGCTTGCACAAGACCAATGTGCTGAGGAAACACTTGGTGAATCTACTAAAGGTGTCGGTAAACCTTAGATACAGCCATACCTACTATGACAACCAGCCAAAAATCCCCAGTGTTTTCTCCTATGAGGAATGTTCCTATTCATGAATCTGTCCATGACGACCATCTGCACAAGATAAGCAGATCTGTCTGTCCCTTGAGTTGTCGTCTTAATCAGGTTTGACTGTATATCGAATTGCGGAACTCCCAGAAGTTAGAAATGTTGAGCACCGATGCATCGACCCAGTAAATAAGGGGGAACCCGTCTATCCTGCCCCTTGGACTCAATGGTGAGGTGAGGAAGCGGCCTAACTCCAAGTAACCCAATCACAAAAATCACAGGCAATATCGGACACAATTCATGAAGTTGTAAAACTGAGTTGTCACAGAAGGGTAGCTAAATGAGCAACAAACAATTAGACAAACAAGTGAACCCAAGTACGGCGCTTAGGAAGTGAAAAGCATCACAAGAAAAATAAGAAAACGATAACATAATCCAAAGGAATAAAACGCTTTGCTATCAGGTCATCAACCATAAGCATGAGTATGTACATGGGCAAGAGAACGGCAGGTACACGTGGCAAGAGAGAAACCACTAGTTCCACCTTGATAAAAACACCTCACTGGATGAGGAGAGTGAAGATAAGCGATGTGGCATCCACAAGCCTGAAATACGAAAAAGAAGAGGCAGTGGGGCAAACCTGAATGTGGACACCGAAACATTAAGACATGGCAGCATATCACACCATCAATGGAAAGACATCTAAATCGAATCTACAACGATAGGGCGAAAGAGAGGAGGGCGGGGATGCAAGCAGAGGTAAGCGTGCGATTAAAGACAAGGGGGGAGAAAAAAGCAAAATGTTGCCAAATCGCAAAAAATAAGAAGCAAAATAAAACCGATCGAAAATACATCCACATATTTGCACGCGATTCCTGATTGATAAAAAGATAATGGTGAATGAATCTGAGAGATGTATCGCTCGGTTGTCAAGAGCAAAGATGCTGATGAGAGAGAAGGGAGGAATGGCGCATAGGATGAAATGTGGATAAAAGAGATAACAATTCGCTTGAAGTCAAACAAGCATGATGACTAAAATCACAATTTGGATGAGAGTTACAAACCACAAAAATGTGAACGGACAATGGTCAAAATACGTGAAGTGAGACAAAACAGGGGGACCCGAAATGCAACACGAGAAGACGGATGAGAGGTGGGGAGAAGACGACAGTATAGGCCACACACGCACACGATAACTGAACACGAGGTCAAAGCAAGAACAATATATACGGCACAGTCGCTGAGGCATGGTGGATGTTCTGATGATTAGCTTGCAAGTCACCACTTCTCGAGATGAAAACGAATTCGGAGCGCCGAAAGACTTAGGTGATCAAGAGATACGTGAGTAGAGTGCAGGATAACGGTTTCAGACAGGAAGTTGACAGTCTTGTTTGGAGGAATCTGGTTCAACGACTTTGGCAGCGACGGTAGCGAGCATACTCGGAGCCGCACTGGGTACCGTATCCGCTGCTCTAGAAGACTTTGGTGGATCGAGGTCAGAGTCGACGTCATCAGCGTGCGTAAACAAGTGCTCCTCGCGTGGATTCACCGACAAATTGCGATAAGTGCGTTTTGTCGCGTGCGGGTGGAGAAAATAGCTAGGTGACTGGTTGGGTGGGCAGGAACTGGTGTCGGGAGGTGTGTTGTGAAAGGGGGAAAGACCAACTGCAGGGTGTGTGCGACCCATCTCTGTTGCTGAGGGCGGATAAACGTCACCATGGATAGACATAGATTGATAAGGAGGAGATATTCTAGGGTGAACGGTGTCTGAAAGTGACACAATTGCTACATTGGTGGGTGCCTGCGGACCGTTTTGTTTGTTCTTTTTTGCGCCAAGAGGGAAAGGGTGTAGTGGCGGTCCCGCATAGTCCGGTTTGGTAGCGAACACAGTATTATAGTGCGAATGCGGGGTGGCGTCGGGAGAGGTGATATCCGCCAAATCGGGCAGTTTGGAAGCCGAAACGATAGAGCGGCGTCGAGATCGACCACGGGATGCATGAGCTGAGTGAGAAGCGGAATGGTCGTGCTCCAGATTCACAGCAGATTCATCGAATGGGTGTTCTGCTAAGCGCATTCCAAGGTCTGTGTACGTGCTCTTCAAACTTGCCGTTGCAGAGGTGGTTGGCGTGGAATAGGTTCCGGGTACAGTGGCAGCCGCTAATGCAGCAGCGGCAGCAGCGCAAGCAGCAGTGGAGGGACTCAAACCAAGACCGCACAACTCCTTAAAGCAAAGTGCCTTCACATGCCGAAGCTCCTCTGCCAACCGCTGATTTTGACTTTCCAACAAACTGACACGGGCTTCCAGACATTTCACGTATTCTTTCTTCTTTCTTCTACACTCGCGAGCAGCCTCTCTAAGAAGACGAAAACGTAAGAAAAAATTGTGCACTACAAATGATAGATGGTGAGAATATTCAGACAGTTCGCAGAACACGAAGAACGTGAGAAGACACCATAGGACGAGCTGTGATCCGACAACCTAAGCGCGATGAACCTAAATGACATGCATCACCATGGCCACAGAAACGAGAACAAACTGAAAGATCGAATACAAAAAGTACACTAGTCATAAGGACAACGGGCGTAAAAATGCGCAATTTTGACTTTTGGCCAAATCTGAGGTGGAAAACACGTACCCACGGAATACAACAGATCGGAAACAGGAGATTGAACCTAAAGGTACCGTGCCCGCTTACGTAAGAGCACGATGTGTGGGCAACACAATGCGATTGTGTCCGACTTATTCCTTGGTTGGGAGTAAGGCGAACACAGACTCCAGTGCCCCCCCCCAAGCCCAATCAATGGTGATGGTGATAGACCTGTGCAACGCAACGCATCAGCAGTACTCCGGTATACAGTATAGAGGCTTCGTTGCCGCGCAACTGCCACTGGTCGCAAGTAGGCTAAGGATACTGCGAGAGTCACCCTGCCCCTACGTAGGCTCGAACGCGCGCTGTCAGATTTTAAGACAAGCATGTTGCCTTTAGGCTAGGGGCCGGATGAAGTTTGTCGTTGATCGAAATGGTAGATCTGCGCCAAATTTGAGGCCAGTAGGGGAAAACCAATGAGTAACAAGAGGGTCTTTCCTTCGTCAGAGATAACTCATAGTATTCCTGCTCCATGCTAATCAAACCCATTTCATAATACATAGATGAGTTTTGACGGCAGCGGGTCGTCAATACTACGACAACCCACAGAAAGATGTCCGTGCTGTTGATCTGACAAGCATGTGTAGCTCCGAAAGCAATTGAAAAAAGTCCCTAAGTGTGGCTTCAAGGGACACACAAGGGGCGTTAAGGATCGATATCAACGCAACAGCCAGATATCAAAATTAACACGTTAGCTAATAGTGACAACCAGAGATAAAAGGCTAATTTCATTGTAAGCACGGTTTGAGGGCTACAAAGTGAACGAAATCGAGAAACTAGAGGCGAATAACATGAAACAAAAGCAATCAAAAATATAAGAAAATAGCAGCCGTCCTAACACTGTAGCCCTCAGGTTCACACAGAAACTGAAGAGGAAAGGTGAACCGAGTCCACTACTAAAGTCTACACACCCTTGCTGGCATCCTTGTTAACAGTAGAGCTCGGCTGTCCCCAAGGAACTAGGAAATGAAAGGTAAATCAAGGTCGTAACATGACGCCTCATGTGCATTAGGTTCTATCTTCATTCAACCATGTATACTTCAAAGCGTTCGTTCGTACACGGTTGGCGGCATCCGATTTCGGATTTGCCTCACTGTGGCCAGCCACAGGATACCTGCGCCTACAGACGGACCATGGGTGGCTTGCGCTGCACCACCCACACACCCCATATCCAGTGTAAACCCGAAGGCATGTAACCGGCAAGCATGCGGATGGGAGCCTGGTTTCATCAACGGAGCCGGCCCACACTCTTCCTGTATGTGGGGAATCAAACGCACACAAGGCGGTGGCTGGACCGTGGTCCGCTCCACACTGACTGCATGGAACCACTCTTCGAGCCTAGCACGACCACAAAGACCGTGCACGCCGTCCCCTCTAGCAACTACCAACTGTCTCCTGGAGCCAGAATGGACTAGGTAGTGTGTAATAGACAGGTAGGAACCTTGCCAACATGCACATCAAGCGCAGCCACACCAGGGATGTCAAACAACAGCCAATCCCTTGAAATGACATTATCAAATAAAATATATCTGGTAAGGCATACGGCTATGGGGACATAACTCTTCGCTGAATTTGAATATGAAGTAAACTGCTGAGCAACGCATAAGCGTAAGTACAAAATGTCCAGAAATTACTCAAAAATGATACAAACGCAATAAAGTTAACGAACATAAGCACAATTAGCGTGAGCAACGAGCACCAGTTACTATAATTCAGGTGGATAGATAGGTAGGTATTCAGGTAGGTAGAACAAAGCAAATAAAGTGGAATGAAATGTCAGATACGGATAGAATATCACGTCCATGGCAAACTGAGAGCTTGTACTAGCGTCTTTTGCTTGCATAACTCAGGTTGTAATAGCCTAATTGCCGTTGCCTCAGCAGTGGCCAGCAGACGTTTCCTGAGTTCTTTAGAAACGCATTTCGACACAGTGTAGACCAACTTGAATCCGTCTGCTGTCCGATTCTGAAGACGGATTCAAGATTGTCTACACTGTGTCGAGACGCGTCACCAAAGGACTAAAGAAATGCCTACTAGCCACTGCCGAAGCAATGGGAATTTGGAATGAAATGTATCCAGCTTAAAAAGACCTAGTTTAAGTGTAATTTGGTTTAGCCTAACTGCGATGAAGCAGCACCATAAATGCAACATCAGCCTCAGCATACATACATGCAACCTTGTGAAAGAAACGCCAAATGAGTATGCTTCACACATAATTACCCTTTTCCAATCCGTCATTCCTGGGTAAACCAGATACAAAACAAAGGTGCCGCTTAAATTGGGTGCTAAGACAAATTAGGTGTGTAACTCCAATTACGTTTCTGCTACTGTTCTTTGCATTTCAAATCGAACATTTGTTCGTTGTCCTGAGACATAAAACTTGTAATTAGTCAGCATACACAAGCATTTGTCGTCTGCACAGGAAAACTTCTCGTCAACACTAGAGGTCAGTTATTCACAGATCACTAGGCCTACCTCAGAAAATGTCAACAGTGAACATACAAAGCTGATCTTAACACTGTGAAATAAACATGATTCGACATTACAACTGACACAAATAGAGCGAAAAATCGCAAGTGCGATATCTTGTATAACCTAGCTACATTTGTCTCCATCGACCTGTGATAGATGAGCTGTAAAAAACTTAGGAAAAGGGATCATTACAAAAAATGTAATCAAAAGCATATAAAAGTATTAAACATAACGACAACGATGAACGTACCGATTCTTTATCAACCGTTGTTCCCGTTTGCGATTCGGATCGTCTGAGTAAGAACCCCCCATTGAGAATTCGGATTTGATCTCCTGAAATCCCAAGCATTCACCACGTTGGGAATGACGGAGACGACTAGGGTTGGTCCCTGAGTCGCTCTGGGTCTCCATTGGGATATCGAGGGGGCGTGAGTCCGTTGGCACTGGAGAGATGTTCAATCCAGGTGTGGCTGAATTGGACAGAGAGGAGTAACTCAGGGGGGATGTAGAATGGCAAATAACGGAACTACCATCGTTCAAGCTTGATGCGACAGTTGGTGAGGCGACGCATCGATTAGTCGAGTTGCTTCGAGCAGAGGGATGCAGTGAGAAGGATGAAGCATGTGCTTCGAAGTGAGGTGACCCCTTGTATGTGCGGGAGAGATGGCGATCGCAGGTCAGTGCAGAACCGGCGAGAGGCAATTCACTGGATGGGTACTGATGGGTGCACTTGGGAGGTTGTTGTTCAGGGACGCAAGCGGATGAAGTTAAGCGATAGTGATCCACTTCTCTTGTAGAGTGATCTTTGTGAGAACCTCTATCCGTTGCATACGTTTCTTGGCTACCGCAGTTTGGCGGAAAGTTGGAAGGTGTCGATGGGTCGGACAGTAAAGGACGCTGAAACAGGTGGAATGAAGAAGGAAGTTAATGAACAGCAAGATGGTCAGTGTCAAAGCGAGTAAATGGGTTCGCAGTCGATTCAAACGCAACGGACTGAAAAGATGGATTGTAAAGTTGACCTAGAAAAAACATTCGTACAAGAAATATTCGTGAATGACAACAATCAGTTATAGCTCTAAGCTGTTTTACTCATGAGAGGAATGAGTCAACAGCTACATGTCATCATCATTATACACGTAGCTAGTAGGAACACAAGAGAAAACAATGATAGACGCAAAACATGCACGCCAGCTGAGTAACCAGTAACGGATGGACATCGTTCTGGAAGGTTAGCAGCCGAATGATGTGAAGCAAAAAAGCAACATTATTCTTCAGGAATGAAATCGTGGTTGCAGGGGAAGGTAAGCGGGAGGGATACAGAAACTCACAACACAAACGTCATTGAGGTCGGCTCCTAGCCATGTCAAAAGTGTATTCAGCCAAACACGTTCATCGATTTCGGGCCCCAACCAGAGTCGACAGGTTCCAACCGAATCCAAGTTCTAAGTAAAGGCCATCATTCCTCTTGACAAAGTCATCGCTTGGCCTCTTCTTTCATCTAAACCTCGCAACTGTCACCCATGGCTTAGTGGCATAAGCTGCTGGCGTCCGAAAGTCATGGGGTCGGAACCCGGCAGGGGACCGAGGAACGTGCACCACTAACGAGACCCAGAAGGTCGAAACAGCTGTCTGATGGTTTTCCCGACGTGTGGGAACCTGCGTGACTGAGGGGACTGCGATAAATTGCATTTGAAGTTAACTTGCCCACCTCGAGTCTTGGGCCACCCTACATCTGGCAAAGGAAACAACACGCTCCTAAATAAGTACTGAACGGGCATACGTAGCACGTGCCAAAGCCAATGCAAGTTACTCAGCGCTATCCGAGGTTCTAACGAACTAGCCTGATTATCACTGTTTAGCATTCGCCTACCTACATCGTTGCAGATAAGCTGCTGCCACCCGACACAGCAATGCATCGCAGACAGCGATGATCTAAGACTTGAAGGTGCTGTAGGTGCTCAGATCGAATGCGCCAAGTCTCGCATACATATAGTAGGACGGCCCTCACTGCAGCCTTGTAAATACGGTTTTTTAGATGGAGGGAAAACCCTTTCTGACGTCACAGATGCCGCTGATTCAAAAAGGCAGTTCTAGCTTTTGAAATGCGTGAATTAACTTCAGTTGCTATGCACCCATGATTGCAGATACAGTTGCCAACGTAGGTGAAGTGATCAACTATATCCAGTTTATCGCCATCAAGGGTTAATTGATCATCAAGTGGACGGTGGTCCTGTAACAGCACTTTGCACTTTGAAGGTACGGAGCGCATGACAAATGATGGGAACACTCTAGTGAGATTATTTAGGGTTGATTGCGGTGTCCTAACATCGTTAAAAAGCAGGACAAGATCGTCCGCATAATTAAGATTAACTAGCTTTTCGTCAGGCAGCCAAATCCTGCATTGTGAGGCTCCAAAAAGCAACATTCCATGGTGGTTGAACAAAAATTGGGAAATTGGGCAACCCTGGCGAACGTCACCTGTTGTCGGAAAGGCATCCGACAAATCAACATAGACCCTGACGCGGCCTGTCGTGTTCGAGTAAAGAACACATAATGTTCACATAGTTCATGGGAACTCCTTTCCGCGTAAGTATTTCGAATAGAATGTATCGAGCGACTGAGTCGAACACAACAATCGTCAAGTGCGGTATGTGTGATGCTGCTTTCGCACCTATCGCAAAGTGAATATGTGGTCCATAATGCAATGTCTTGGGCGGAAACCTGTTTGCTCTTCCCTAACTCGGCATTCTCATTCCACAGTGAGGGGATGAACGAGAACTGAGACTATTAATTTCGTCACTTCCGGCGTTAGGCTAATACCTCTGTGGTTAGCACAGTCTGTGCAACTGCCCTTCTTGTAGATGGCCACTATAATCGATTTATTCCAGTTAACTGGGACGACCTCTCCCTTCCAGACCTGTTCGAACAGTGAGGTCAGTGCTTTACAGAGTACCACACCATCATTCTTAAATAATGCGGACGCGGGGAAGCCGAGCCAGCAGCTAGAAAGCGACTAAGGGCTGTGATCGCGCTTCGGACCTCAGCCTCCGGTCGAGCCACTAAATTAACTGTACATGGCTCAACCTGCATGTCCTGAGTGGGAAAAGATCCAGAAGCAGGGGGTCAACAGAGATGCTCTCGAAAGTGCTGCACCCATGGAGCCATACGGCGCTCATTAGTGTGAATCAGGACACCCACACAATCTCTGATTCTCGCTGACACGTGGTTTCTAGGGCCCAGTGATGCGCATCAGCTGGAAAAACTTGCGATAAATGTCAAGTGCTCCCACCTCCTCCATTTCCAACGCCCTACTGGTCCACAAGGGTTTTAGTCAGCACGAAGGTTCCGCTTTAGTGCACGTCTAATAATATGCCTAGATGCATCAGAGCCAGCCAGGAGTTTTCTTCTGGATTGCAACAGGTCAATCGACCTCTCTGATATCTAGTAAATGGTGCGGTGACGATTGATAGTGCCGCAAGCAGAGGCTACCGCATTTTGCATGGCGGCCGAGATACTATTCCATTGAAACAGTATCATTAAGAGAGAGCGAAAGTATTCAGGGCATTTTGGAAGGTGTTCTTTAAAGAGGACTGCGATAACTTCGCAGTCGTCAAGCGAGGGAGGCGCTTGGTATATCGCTCGGTCAAGTTCATGGAAAAACGACATAATATCAAGGCATGGTCAGAGTCGACGCAAGTAAATCAGTACGAGTGACAGTTCAGTATGGAACCCCGCTACCTGTAACTAATGGCAAAGTGAACCACTTTGGTTCATCGCTGGAGAGCTATAGATTGTCACCAAGTGGCATTTCGGCGCCCACTATGTCTAAAAGCAGTGCTACTAAGAAACAGCTGGTGCTCCGCAAACAGTTGCAACAGACTGTTAGGTATGGCCCTTAACCGATAAACGGAACAGAACGCGCACGCGTAGCATGGAACCGATTTACTAAAAGCGTCCTGCGTTACAGTGGCTAGAAAACCCGGAAAGGAAAACCAATGAAATAAGAAAAGTAAGGCAAGGTAATGCTCATCCAATCATGTGAGGGCCTGTGTTTACGAACTGATATGCAAGTGCAGACGTGACACAGACACCCGCCATTATCCTAAGGTTAAAGTCCATACTTACCACTCAGCTGAGCATCTGAAGAACTCAGACGACATACTTCCGCATTCATATAATCCGCAAGAACTAGGTTACATGAACTGGCAGCACTGCGCAGTATCGTGTTCAGTTGGTGGTAAGAGTCACTGACAGTCGGTGGGGGCACAAGCGGAAACCAGCAACAGCGTCTAGCTCTACTTCGTGAACCACCCATAGCTGAAGTCATCAAACTGCTGTTCACAGGAAGGCAATCAGCCAAAGGGGACTCATTAGGGCTAAGAACGATGCTCACCCCAGAATGACCAGTGGTCACCGCGACAGGGTCTCCGGATGAATGCAACCAACAGCGCGAGGACAACCCTGATGCAATTTAATAAAAAACCCCATGAGAGTCATTGATCCTAGTTTCGGACACACAACACACGTAAACACCCAATGTGTCCAATGTTCGTGTGAGTGAAGTCCGCTGAGTCATTTGTCTTAGAGTGCGAACGTTCAACGCCGCTAGAGAAACTGGACAGTGTGGTCCCATAAATTGTTGGCGTCCAGTGGGTGGTGCGGAAATTTAGCTGCAGATTGTAATGACTCCAGTGGCATGGACGCTGCAGTCAAATAAGTTAAGAATTATAGGAGGAAGGCTAACAATGGGGGTTGGGAGGGAAGTAAGAGAAATAGGTGGAAAAGAAGGGGGCGCCAGCAGTAGCACGTCATCGCTTATCCGCCTTACTGTATGCAGCAGATAAGCCAATCCTTGATAAGTTGCGCGACGGCCGAAGCAGGATGTGGTTGGAATTTGAGAAAGTATTCATGGTTGGACGTATGCTGAGATACTGCCAGGGCACCCAGATCTAGACACGTTTATACACTTATTTAATTGTCCACAGTGTAAAACTTTAGACCCGAGGTCCTTCGATAAATTAACGTTTTCGGAAGACTGAACTGTGTACCAAGTGTCATGCTCAAAATGAACCGATAGAAAAATGAGCTTGCTTCGGAAATGAATGCAGTAATGCGTGGTGGAACAGCGTCATCAGTAACACTTGCGCATAAGTATTAGTATTGATACCAACCATAGAGATCCTACTAAGATAAGGAAAGAAGTGAACCCAGTATAAAACTGTGACATGATAAGCTTACTAACAATACCAAGGTGCCAAAACTCATTCAACACCAAACGATCGCAAGCAGCTGGTTGTCATGTGAGAATAAAGCGAAAGTTTGCTCACGTCATAAGTAGCATATTGCCAACAGATAAATTGGCCCTATAAGAAACTTGAAAGAGAAATACGGCTAGATAAAAATAAACGCGCTATAAGGTTGTTTGTGAAACAAGTCACATAATGGCTGGAGCCAAGCAGAGAGGAATGTGTGGACGGACAGCATCCAATCGGGTGATAAGATACTTCACTTTGGACCAACCAACGGGAATACAGCCGGGTTTGGGTTGTACACTGACAATACTGAAGCAGAGCTGGATATGCAAAGGACGCGCGCGAAGAGTAGGATGCGCTTCGCTCAGATAGTAATTCAGTTATTCAAAGTTCAACGATCCGTCACACCTTAGAGCACCATCAAATGTCCAGTTAGCTAAAGAATGTTAACCCTATAAGCATAAGAAGTAACAGTCAACTGATGCGGCTAGTCTTTGAGACAACCAACGGAGATGAGTGTTCTCATAAACTGCAAGCCATTTATTCTCGTGTGTTGGGCCGGGCAAAAGGAAGCTTACCACTCCTTTTGGCCTTAATGGTGGCGTGAGAAAGAGTTGCACAGCCTCACTTTCGTTTTAACTTTAC